TTATTTATTTCTTGAGTTGCCTTTCCCCCGGGGCCCCAGCAGTAGAGAGAACCCATAGACCCAATTTAAACGTGCAGAAGAAAAAGAAAGAAAGAATGGAATTTGTCGAGAAAAGCATGAGAACAAGTCACAACACCACCCATAGAAAAACTGCGGCAGTGCTCGGAGGCCTTGTGCTGCAAAGCAACGCGTTGGGGAAGTAAATAAAAAATAAAAATAAAAAAGAATGATCAAGCCTTATGATAATAGGCAAGAAATTGTGTACTGGGACTTGATGTTGGGAATATTATTGTTTCTTTTTCACCCCGACAGTCTGTAAAAACGTAAGTTTCTGGAAAAAACAACCAACCAACCAACCCTCACTGGCTTGAGCGTGGGAAGGGTTAAAAGGGCTTCTCAGCACACTTCATTTTTCGTCAGTTCTGTTATTTATTAAGTGTAAACCCATCGGGGGAGATATTTTTTTTTTTTTTTGGGTGGGGGGTGGATGCATATTTACGAACGACGGGGGATGAAGGGTTCAAAACGATAAATTATTATATTGTTTTCTATTTTAAATCTCTCTTCTCTCCTTTTAGGGGAAAAAGTAAGGCTTAGATTATTCTTTTTTTTTCCTTTTACCCCGTTGCCAGCCGAACCGGGTAAAGGTGAAAAATCCTCTTTTTGGGCCCCAACCTTGGCACCGAAATGCATTCACCATGTCCCAATCGCCCCTAGGTGCTGGGAAATAAAATGCTTCCAAATTTATGGCCGATACACCCAAGTCCATACGCACGGAGGGAACCATTGTTTGAGACGAATCCGAAACCGTTACACACCACATTTCCGCGGCGCACCCACCAACACAAGCTTACAATATACAAAATAGGAAAAGGTGTCACGGAGAAAACTTCTAAAAGAATATCGCAACCCTGATCGCCAAACCAGAAAGTTATATGGCAAGATAAAATTAAAAAAAAAAACGTATCCCTCAGCCCGGCACCAGGAAACGCCAGCCAACCTTTAAAAGATCCACAATGCATCCGGTATTTATAACCCTCTTCCATGCAGCACTTGAAGGAGTAAAGGTAGCTTACCCAAATGATAATAAAAAAGTTATCCTGCAATTGATATGGATCTGAGTTCACTACTGTCATCAAGGCACCTCTGCCCATGCGGAAACGCCATGGGCCACAGAGAGACGACTCAGTTAAATTGACCTTCGAAACCTGGCACTAAGGTATTCCAGCGTCCCAATGGGTACTTTGTGAAGAGTACCAAACCGTACTCGGGACTGCTGATATTTAACTTTAAAAAGAGAAGGCATAGTACTAAAAATTGTTCTAAAAAGTTTGATTTAATGGATTTCACATAGCGGGGTATGGCCATATAAGGCGTTGGTTTTCACTGGTTCTCTTTCCTTCCTACCCCGGAGGAAAACAGGATCGCTGCAAGCAAAAAGGGGCCCCTATGCTCCATAATTCTTCTTTGCTCTTTCCAAACCTATAACACGGAAGAACCACCACACTGATACCATTGGCACCTAGGACGCTGCGGCAAGTGGAAAAATAAACCGGAAGATGCAATTACTAAATAAGGATTTCATTTTTCGCAATGCTTGAATAATAAATATCGTAGAGGTTGTGCCAGCGGAAAAAACCCCGCTTTTAGACGAACCTACATTGATCGGATTTTTTTTTTTTTTTTTGGGAGGGGTTTGGTCGGTTATCAATGAAGATAAGAAACTCCAGAAATCAGCATAAATTCTGTTTCAACAGAAGTTTTTTGTATCCATTACTTTCAGTTAAATTTAGGTGCATTGTAACACTAAAACATCAATATCCGATATGGTATAACGGTTAGAACACCTGGCTTTCACCCAGGAGATCCGGGTTCGATTCCCGGTATCGGAGACCTTTTTCAAACACCCATTTGAGCCTAATCGCTCTGTTGTTGTTTTTTTCAAGCATTTAAGAAAATTCCAAGATGGAGAAGGGATGCCGGCAAAGAAACACCCCAACCACCTCCAGGGAAAAACGGCAAAAACAAAAGAGGCCACCAGCACCATCAGCACATTCAACGAACAACCCTCAGCGTCTGGGCAAACCTTTCCCCAAGTTGAGGAGGCGTTCCGCCACACTTATGCCGGCCCATTCGGAGCGCGCCGGCCGAAAGCCGAACGCAAAGAAATTCCCCCGCACCAACGGAGCCGCACAGCTTATCACCAATTACGGGCGTGGTTTGCGGTAGTTTCGTCCCCCTTGGGATTTGCGTTTGGCGCGGTTTATTTTGGTCGCGGGGTGGAACCGCACCGCACCCCTCCGCCCCGCGAGGCAACGCCTCACCAGAACATGCGGCGGGCCGGATTTCGAGGAACCCCGCGCGATCGGACGCGGGGGCTTTCGCCGGAGCCCCGAATAAAAAAAAAAAAATAATAAAATCGGGGGTGGGGAAAGGGTTTGTTGTTGTTGTCGGGGGGTGGTGTCGAGGTTCGAATTTGGGGCCTGACGGCGGGATCTGAGTACAAAAAGTTCGGGTGGCCTCTTCCCTCTCCCGGGAACGGCCGCAAAAGCAAAAAAGATAAAATTCGAAATTGTGAAAAAATTGCAGAACGAGCGCTGTGGGATCCCATCAAAAGAAAAAAAAAGAACCTTTTTGGACCTGAAAGCCACCAAAATGGAGGCTTCGTGGGGCAAAGCCGGACCGCCACCGGGGATACGCCAAAAAAGGTGTGAGGAAAAAAAAAAAAGCCGCGACAGCAACCTTCCTTTTTTGCTTTCGTTTTATTTTGGTTTGGCTCCAATTGCGCGGCGTTGGTGGCATTCTTTTGGCGCCATAAATTCCATAGATTTGAC